GGGGGGGGGGGGGGGGGGGCATGCTCCCCCGAAAATGTTTGAAATTCACACCCTTGGAAATGCGATTTCCAGCGTTTTGAGGGACATTTGTGACATTTTACCGAGGCATCTGCCTTCCTTATAGTGCATGGCTACGGCCCTGCGGATATTTTGGCGAGTCCTCGCATGAATTTATATGAAAATTGGTGACCTACTCCCTATTTGCACCTCCCCCCTCCCTATATATAATGACCGGTCCCTGATGTAGGCTAATAGACTGTGAAATTCTTTTCCAAGAAGACGTCCAGGAATCAAAAGTAAGCGATTTAAAAGATCAAGAGAAAGATAAATATGAGGCTTCGTAAAGGAAAACATGCTGTTGAAAAGCCAAATTCCGAGATATGCTTCGCTTGTCACGCATTATGCATGAGGCCTCACAATGGAACCTTTGTGCGTGACAAGCGAAGCATATCTTGGAAGTGGGCTATTATCAAATCAAAACTAGAAAAGTTGCCCTTGAAACTGGAAATTCTTCTGCAACTCTGTTCTTTTTAAACATTTTAAAGTGAATGATAACTATTTGCTCACCTGAAGGCTTGAAGAATTCATATTTCGGTGGTTCGATTTTTCCCTTGTTGCATAGATTGCCTTTACAACACCGGCTGTCACACCTGTCTTTACTACCGCTGTGCTTCTTCAAGGCTTCGCAATATAGCCAGGAAAGTACACATTTAGCAGCAGGAACGCAGTCACGTACGTCTTCCGTAACTTTGACCCCATTATCCTTTACATTATTGTCTCTGTGAAATAATTTTTACAATAATTAATATTGTAGTATCCATCGCCTGATATAGATAGCTGACAAAAACAGGGTTAAGAACCCCCCCCCTCCCCATGAGAAGAACCCCCCCCCCCGATGTTCCTTCCTTACCTATGAACAATGCAACGGTCCATTCCTCCTGGCCTTTCCGAGCAATCTGATACATTCCAGTTCGTCGGAGACTTACAGCTGTTACTAAATCCGATTTGTCAGAGCAAGTATAACATTTAAGAGGGTAACCTGTGCAAAGGGAAACTCGAAGCTTTAAAATGATTGTTAAAAGCTAAGCTTCTTAGCAAACCATGTATTCCAAAACGGCTGCTTATTAAGTCAATCAAAACTAAGAATAAATTATATAAAATATTCTTACATCTTCCTACAGAACTAAATAACCTAAAATATAAAACATACAACAACAAATTAACTTATTCGCTTAAAATCTTTAGAAAACTTGTAAATATACATTAGTGTAGCGAGCCAATCATGGCAATGGATAAGAACACGTGACAGTGTTTTTAGTGTATCGATAAAAAACCAAGAAACGTAAAGTAGGGGGCGGCTTTGATTTTTTTCAAGGGGAGATGGGGGCTGACCAAAACCCTGAAGAATGAAAGATTAGTTTTTTTATGCACTGTTTAATAAACGAGCAGGAGTGTTTTAATAATAATAATTATTAATAATAATGATGTTCTTATAGCCCATTTCACATATGGTCTCAATGCGCTTTACAGTTACGACAAGTGGAGGACTTTACGGGCTCCATATTAAACACGAGGCGCAGCTGAGTGGTTTTAGACCCGATAAGACACGATCTGCGAGTTTATTAGACAGTACTTAAAAAACATGATGTATGTTCTCATTACGAAATGAACCAAGTTTGATAGAGAAAATCAAAGTTAAAGTTGATGCAAATGAAGACGAATCTATTAGAGTTTTATCAGATCTCATCTTCCCTGAAAAAAAATATATAAAAAGGCGCTCAACCATCGCATGTGGCTACTACTGTATTCACTTTATATTCAAATTACCACGTTGGTTAATGAATAAAGATGACGATGATGAAGCATTCTTTGATATCCTAATTTTTGTCTTTTCGTGGGTCATTTTGGGTCATTTTGTTGTTCCGGATTTTTAAAATCAAAAACAGGATTTTAAAACGAGTTTAAATTAATCTCAATCTTAGGAGTTTTATAACCAAACAAGAACACTTCCACTAATTTCTTCTTACATGTGGACGGTCGTATCCGCAAATTTTCGAATACGATGACGTAAACACGATTTTGCGCATGCTCAATAAGAAAAACTATCCGTCAAAATTTCCGGATACGTGTGGAAAGTGAAAACKATTCGAAAACGATTCGAATACGCTGCGTGTGGACGCGAACATTTTCGTATCCGAAAAAAAAAAAAAAAAAAAAATTGCGGATGCAAAAATTTCCGGATACGTGCATGGACGGGGCCTTAGGCTCCTCATACGTCCCGCTGACAAGAGCGTTACGTTATGCGTATAACGTTACTACGTATCATGACCTTCAAGAACACGGAGCAAGGCATAAACTCAGTTTAAATGCAACGCTAATAATATGAGTCGCCCCATGTAACGGAATCCGGACTTATGGTGGATTCCGGATTCCAAGGGTCTGGATTCCGGATTCCAAAACGTTCGTATTGCGGATTCCGGATTCCATATCGTTAATTTGCATCTGATGACAGATATTCTTGGTGGAGATATCACACAGTGGGGGAGGGGCTACATCGGTTCAGTCTAGGTCGAGGCGATAGCATTTGAGTGTAGACTTTGAATTTTAAAGTAGCGGATTCCGGATTCCAAAAGGGTGGATTCCGGATTCCATTATAAACTGGATTCCGGATTCCAAGGCCTGGATTCCGGATTCAAGAGTGCTGGATTCCACATTCCACAGCCTAAAATTTCGTGGATTCCGGATTCCGGATTCCGGATTCCTTACTTGAGGCGATATGAGGAATTACGGACATTACGAGCATCTTTAGGCTATATTTACTACACATTCTGACTCTCACGGCCTCATGTCAGACAATTTTAATAACCCAAATACTTGAAAATACACTCTTAAAAGCAGTGTGGTATAAGTATCCTATTTTAGACATATACAGACTAAATTCGGCAAGTAATCTATACTTTGATCACCAATAGTAACCACATCAACAAATATAAATTCGGATATAAATTGCAATATACATCCAAAACTCCCTTAAACAGTACGCTTTTCAAGTTATTACTCTATTACCAGTCTTAAGGTTGATGTAGCGTTGATATTGTGGGAAAGAACCTTGATTATTTACCGCATATTGACAATAATATATACATTGTAGACATCAAACATGGTCTTCTTAAACGATATAGTTTTGCTTGCCATCCAGCCCCAGAAATTACACTGAATTATCCGAACAGCTTTGGTCAGTGTTTGATTTCTTTTGGAGAAAAAATATCCACCAAAATCGGCCTAAATTTTGCTACACGAACACGAAATCAACACTCAGTATTTACTAAGAAATATATGGGCGCCTCGCTTCAGTGCCGATGTCAATACCCAATTCAAATCACGTGACGCGTTAGCCGATTCGGTCTATAAGCCTTTTCATAGTTCAAGAATCGATTCCACTGCGCATGCGATTTTATCCCGAATTTCTCACCTTCTTTTGTTTAATTAAGAACAAAAGAAGGTTTAGACAAAAGAAGGTGAGAAATTCGGGATAAAATGGCATGCGCAGTGGAATCGATTCTCAAACTATGAAAAGGCTTATTGCCATCGGAACTTTTGCGCAACAAAAACGTAAATAATCCAAAGCAATTAGTTCATGTGACCGAAACCTTTTCTTTGTGTTGTGTTACTATTCCACTAGTCCTTCCATAGTGAATTTATCCTTGAATGTGTTCTCTATTTAAACATCTTGGAAGATATGTTTGCATGTGGTTGTACCATTGTATCATATCTGTGGATCTTCATAGGCCCTCACAAGACGTTCTCTGACTTCATTTGGAATTCGGTTTCTTTGAAATAATTTAAAACCGTCAAATAATATTCTCAATTCCGTAAACATTTGAATCCCACAATTCTAAATATGCGACCACTTTCTTCACTTGCACTTTGTTTATATAGTTACGCCTTTCTATTGTCCAGAATATTTCCAAGGTCGTGCATTCCAATACCTCATGCTTTACATTCGATGCCTGATTGCTAGCGCTTTCCGAAACCCTTCCGACTATGATAATTTGTGGTTGCAACTTCAATGAGCTAGCAAATAACAAAGGACTTAGAAAAACACTTTTCACACAAACATAGTAATCTAGTAAGACTAAAAAAGGTATTGTACTAAATAAAGTTTGTTTTCGAAACAATGCTGAGAGAGCGGGGAKTATTCAATTCCACCTCAAAAACTAATAAAAAATAAAGATATTTGCAATTTAAATGGTTTTCGGCGGGGTCTTCGTTTTGTATATTACCCCATGA